GGGAAAATAGGAAAACCAGAGCGATATAATGCTGTGAGCTGATGGTGTGACTGCCCGGGGTTTAGGAACTGTCCATTTATCTGGTTTTTGAGTTGTAATGCCCATGTGGAACATAGGAAATTGGAGATCTGAGACTCCCCACCCCAACCATCAGTGGAAAGACAGAATAGAAGTTCTGCCCACTAATTATAGAAAGGTGTTGAGGAAACATGTCTGTTCTACTGGGGTATTAAAAACTTTCAAATCTGAGGTCTCAGTTAACACAGAAATTGCTCCCAGTCAGTGAAACTCCTGGTTCCCGCAGAAATTAAAAAAACAAAACCAAAACTGCTCTGAGTGATGCTCCCACATTCCAATCCACAAAAAAGATTCTATCCATAGGCCCTGAAAGTCTATGAATGAAAATTTATAAAACATGAGAAAAAACATCTAGCCTTTCCTTTCTCCTTTCCCATTTCTTCTTGCCTTTGTATATGGATATGATGCCTAGAGGTACAACCATTATATGATGTTCACACTTGAAGGAAAGGCCAGAAAAACTGCAGAGATGAAAGGCCCAACAACACTGAGCTATAGAACCCTGCCAGCAGCCACCTACCTCTGGACTTGACTTTACGTGGGAAAAATAAACTCCTATCAGCTTAAACCATTTTTGTGGGTTTTCCGAACCTGTACCAGAAACTATCCCTATCTGATATAATAACAGAAAAATCCATGCAACAAAACATACCCATGAACAAACTTTGAAAGAAATATGAAAAGGGGTGCCTGGGTGGCTCAGTTGGTTAGGCAAAAATGCCAAAATAACTTTTTTCCCCAAATGGAAAAAATATCATAATACCATGCATGGAAAAATATAAATAAAGTCAAAGTCAAATGATGATATGGGGGGAAAATACCTTCAAAACAGATGACCAAGAGCTACTTTTTACATATACGGAGTTCCCACAGATCACTAAGAAAAAGAGCAATAACCCAAGAGAAAAAGGGACAAAACCTTTTACAGACATCTGAGGAAAGGGAAAACAAATATCATGCAAATAAATGAAAAGATCCTCAACCTTACTCATAAAACAGGTACAGATTAAACATAACATTTTCTCCTATTTGACGGCAAAGACCAAAATGATAATATGGAAGGTATGGGATAAAGACCCTCATACACTCTTAGTGAGAGTATCAATTGGTGCAACCACCTTGAATAGAGAGTGACAAATTTCCTTTCATATCTCTTTGACTCAAAAGTTTCACTTCTAGAAAGTTATCCTATAGATCAACAGTGCCATAGAAGTATAATGTGAGCCACAAATGCAAGCCACTTAGGCAATTTTAAATTTTCTAGTAACCACATTAAAAAAGATAAAAAGAAACAGTTGAAATTAACAGTAATATACTTCATACAGCCCAATATAGCCAAAATATTATCATTTCAATATGTAATCAATATAAAATTCATGAAATATTTTACATTCTTTTTTCATACTAAGTCTTTGAAATCTGGTGTGTATGTTATGCTTTCAGTACACCTCAATTCAGACTAGTCATATTTTAAATGTTCAATAGCCATAGGTGGCTAGTGGCTAGGATATTGGACAATGCAAATATAAGATGAAAAGAATAAAAGCAACAGCTAACATTTATTGGGCACGAGGCATTTTTCATGCAGTATCTCCTTTAATCCTCACTCTCACCCTATAACCTTGGTTCTATTATTATCCCTAGTATGCAGATGAGGAAACTAAAGCACAGAGAAATGAACTTGCACAGGGTCACAAAGCTCTGAGTGGCACAGACAGGTTTTATTTATTTATTTTTAAAGATTTTATTTATTTATTTGAGAGAGAGCAAGCGAGAGAGCATAAGCAGGCGGAGCAGCAAGGGGAGAGGCAGAGGGAGAGGGAGAAGCAGGCTCCTCACTGAGCAGGGAGCCAGATGTGGGGCTTGATCCCAGGACTCTGGGATCATGACCTGAGCTGAAGGCAGACGCTTAACCGAGGCGTCCTATAGACAGGTTTTAAACCCAACCCATAGTCCTAACTACTATTCTATACTTATTATATAAATCTACGTGCACATATGAACGAAGACATATGTAGAAGAACATTCTTTGTAGCACTGTTTATAAGTAGCAGAAGATCAGAAATAAATGAACTATTCACCAACAGAGGATTGGTTAAATAAATCAGGATTATGGGGAGGCTGAATGGCTCAGTCGGTTAAATGTCCGACTCTTCATTTCAGCTCAGGTCATGATCTCAGGGTCATAAGATTGAGCCCCATTTTGGGCTCCATGCTCAGTGTGGAGTCTGCTTGAGATTCTCTCTCTCTCCCCCTCTCCCTCTGCCCCTCCTCCCACCCATGCGTTCTCTCCTTGCTGATCAGGGAGCCTGCTTCTCCCTCTCCCTCTGGTTCCTCTCTGCCCTGCTCGTGTTCCCTCTCTCTCTAATACATATTCTTTAAAAAAATAAATAAAATAAAATAAGTCAGGATTTGTTATATAGATTTTTAAAGATGAATGAGGCAGACCTATCTCCCTATCAATTGATTGATTGAGAGAATGATCTCTAAGATGGTTTCATACTGTTGTGTGAAAAATGCAAGGCGCAGAACACTCCATAATAGTACTCTACCATTTATGGAAAAAAAATGTGGGAGTGACAAATACATATATGATTACAAATGCTGGGGGGTAACTAAAACCAGAAACAGTATTTGCTTCTGAAATGGGGTACTGTGGGTGGGGAAAGGAATGGGAGAGATACTCTTTACTGTTGAACTTTATATAGTATTTAACTTTTATCCTTTTTACTTTGTGCTTATATTTTGAAAAAAAAAACAAAACCTTTGAGGCTTTCCTATGTGACAAGTATGTTTACCAGCAATGAACATCAAAACAGACTAAGTCCCTTCACCCATGAGTTTATATTGGAGAACAGGGTTGGAGAAGGTCAAACAAACAAGTCAATAAAGAAACAATTCATCCTCGAGATAGCAGATAATCAGAAACAGTGATAAGCTCTGTGAAGGAAATAAACAAGATGGTGAGAAAGTCACTGAGGGAAGCCACTTCAGATAAGTGGCCTGGGAAGGTCTCTTCAAGGAAATAACATCTGGGCAGGAACCTGAAGGATGAAAATAAACAAATCTGCAAGATGAAGGCAAGAGCAATGCAAGCAGAGGCAAAACCATTTACAAAGGCTCAGAGATGGGAGAGGGTTTGGTATACTGGAGGACGAAGGAACAGGAAGAAGCGGGAGTACGACAGAACGCAGTGAGGGCAGGAATGAATAAATGAGGTTGGAGAGGTAGGCAGGAGACAGTCCTATAAACCCGAAAATGGATTTTAGGGAGAACAATGGGAAGACACCAGCTAGGATGCTGCGGCTCTGACATAAGATGACAATGCTTTGGAATGGTGGAGGCAGAAGAAGTGAGCAGAAGCAAACATATTCCAACATTCCTTTTATTTTACTTTTTTTAAGGATTTTATTTATTTATTTGACAGAGAGAGACACAGTGAGAGAGGGAACACAAGCAGGGGTAGTGGGAGAGCGAGAAGCAGGCCGATCAGGGAGCCCAACATGGGGCTCGATCCCAGGACCCTGGGACCATGACCTGAGCCGAAGGCAGATGCCCAACGACTGAGCCACCCAGGCACCCCCCAACATACATTTTAAGACGTAGAATTTGTAGAACCTGTTTGTGGGTTAAATGTTAGGAGCGAAGGAAAAGGACTAATCGAGAATAATTTTTCATTTTTGTTTGGGTGGGTGGTAGTGCCAATTTACAGAGACCAGGAAGAATGGGGGAGGAACACATTGGGGTGTGTATGTGAGAGCCTGTGGGGGAATTAAAACCTCTATTCTAGAGACAGTAGTTCTGAAATGTCTGTTAGACATCCCAGTGGATATCAAGTAGACAGCTGGATTTAGGAGTCTGATCTGATGCTCAGAGGAGAGATCTGGGTTGTCAGCTCTCTTTAACAGTCAACTTCTCCTTCCCTGCAATTCTCTTCTCTCCCTTTGGTTTTGATGGCACTAATCTCTGGTCTTTCTCCTACCTCCAGCACTTCTTCTTTCTCCCTTGTCTTAAAGTTGATATTCCCTAGCAATCCCTTTTGGGCTTGTTTTTTACTATCTACTATCTCTGGGCCACTTACCCGATTAAAAGACTTCCAAATACCCTTACGTGTTCTAATATATATAATGGCCCCAAAATCTGTAACTTCAGCTTAGATTTCTCCCCCAGGCAACAGATCTATATATCCAGTTGCCTACAGGGTGTTGCGACCTGGTTGACCCACAAATACCTCAAACTTAATATGTCCCAAACTGAATTAATCATTTCTTCTTTGCCTCTGTGCATGCTACCCATTTAGCTAGCCAGGGCCCAAATCTTAAATTAGTATTAAATCTTCTTTTCCCCAGTAAAACAGAGCTCAGTGTACCTGAAAGCCCTCCCATACAAGAAGAAAAACAAATATAAGGTCATGCACTCATCACACAGGAGCTCCAAACACTGGCTCAATAATGTGCTGTATCCTCTGTTTGCCATTTTTCACCCTTCTCCACCCTGCTTTCTGCCATGGATGCTGACACATCACATGGATCCTATGGCCCATGGGGCATCCCAGTAGAAGACTGGAGGGAAAGGAGAGTAAGATCAAGGTACTGCTCCTCTGGCTCTCCTCCTACAAACTCTCATTCTTTAAGTTCTCAGTACAATATGATTTTACTTCTAAAATGGTAGATAGGGTGGATTTGGGGATAGGATAGGGAAATCAAGGGCAGGAAGATGCTAGAAGCAAAAAGACCACTGAAGAGATTTTCATAGCGTTCATGTTGAGAAGTAGTAAGGGTCATTAGGGAAACACATCCTTTGAGGGCTGGCTTTCATGTTTTTATCTGCCTGTCCCCAACATCTAAGCCTGCTCCTCAGCACATATTATTTAAAAAAATAAGAACTGTGAAATAAGCAAAGATCAGGAGTCTAAGGTTTACCTTGTATCCATTATCTTCTTTGCGGTTGTGAGAAGCAGTAATCATCACACCTGCAACTGCTTTGAGCTCCTGGACTGCATATGGCTGAAAAAACAGTAACACCATAATTCCATTCTGCTCTCCAGCTACTTACACATTTGACATAAGAATAACCTTGAGTAAATAACAGGAGAAGACATTAAGACATAGATAGCCTACAACTTCAACAATCAACTCCAGATACACTGGGTACGATATAGCTAAAGCCATCTAACTGTTAGGTCACCAATAGCCACCTAACTGTTAGACTGGATGGCTTTTTACTCCTAGTCTAATTTACCTTAGTCCTATAAACTTTTCTTTTTCTTTTGTTTATTTAACAGATATTTAAGGAACACTTACTATATGCCAGACTCTATAGAAATATGAGTGATGAATATAATCTTAAAAATGTTAGTGTTGGAAGTTAATTTAGGAATCATCTAATCCATCATATTTTACACATTATAAAATCATAAGGGAGAAGTTCAAGGGTAGAACAACATAGGTCTACTGACTTCCAATTTGAAGGTCTTTATATATACTCCATGACCTTTATAACATATACAGGTCAAGTCACCATCTTCTCTCCCAAAGTTAATTGCCAGGTTGGATTTACCTTTTTCTCTGTAGTAGCTATTATTTGATAGCCTAGGATATCCCCCCTACCCTTCTACCATCACTTCTGATTTCTCTTCTCCTGGCCATAAGGAACAAAAGATTCAGGTCTAATCAGAGTAACTTATTCCCCTGATATGATTCAGAGACTGGCTCATAACCACCCAAGCCCGGTCAGAGTCCTTCCCCAAGATGTTTCTTCTGCAGCTAGTCAAAGAGAATTGCCAAGGAGGACCACTAAAAATATCTTCCCTACATACTAGAGCAAATCTACCTGTAATGAGAGAGGAAGGCCTACACACAGGAATTGATGATAGTTGAAGTTGGCAAAGAAATGGCAGAATCCTACAGACATGGTCTAGATTTCTGGAACTTCTCTGTTTTCTGTCATTCATTAGAGCTAATTGCTTAGTGATTCCTTCAATTCTTTGAGCCACTCAACACATTTCCAATGAATCACTAGAATGGTTTATAGAGATATTATCTATCCCTCAAACATTTGGGAAAACTTGCCTATAAAATTATTTGTACCTGCCATTTTTAATTTGAGAAGATTAAAAAAAAATACCGTTGAATTTCTTTAATGATTACAGGTCTCTTTGGGTTTCCTATTATCAGTTTCAATGTATCAATTATTCTAGGAAATTGGCCATTTCATCTCAGCTTTCAGCTTTCACATTTATTTGCATTATGTTCAGAATACTGTGGTTTTCTTAATCTCTACTGTATGTATTACGCTCCCTTTTAATTTGTCTTACCTTTTTTTCATAAGCATCCTTGCCAAAGGCTTGTTTATTTTTATTAGTCTCTTCAGAGTCAACTTCTGCTTTTATTCATACCGTTTTTAAAATTTTTCTATTTAATTGATTTTTTCCTCAGACCTTCACTATTTTCTTTCTTTTACTTTATTTAGATTTAGTCTATTTTGATCATAACATACTAAGCTCGTTATTTTTTCATCTTCCCTTTTCCTAATATGTTAAGACTATATATTTCCCTTGACGTAGAGCTATAGTTGTAGTCCATAATTTTGGCTATTTATTTTTTTCATTGTGGCTCAGTTTCGAATACAGGTAGTCCTTGCTTTGCGTGAATTTCTGATACCATATTTTAGTTAAATAACACCCAACAACACAGTCTCCCAACAACACATTCAAATTTCAGTTACCATGGTATATTAACTGTGAGAAATGGTATCAAGCGCAAACTTGCTAGCTCTTCAGTCCATAAATAATATGTATGTACATAAGAGATCCATCATGATCAGTGACCAATCATGTCACTCTGTTAAAGTCTGCCAGTGATCTGTGCATCTGTTATCAGCTCTCAACAGACAGCAAAGCATGTAGTTGTGTTGCCTCCTTAACTCCTAGTGATAAATCCATGGGATAGTTTGCAAAAATGGATAATTGAAAGAAGGAACTGGCCAACAAAGATGAGAGTGTAGAAAAGGAACAAGAAGTGACAACAATGGAAGGGAAATTTGAATCAAACATAAATAGAATTACAGAAGAACATAGCTGGGAATGTTGACATTGCTGTCATTCAAGAGAATAGATGTGCACCCAGATAAGCTTAGTGTAGGTGAACATATGGATATAAATGAGGAATGTAGTTGTGATGAAAAGGATGAAGATGTCCCAGGGGAAGTGATACTGGCAAAAAAAACTTCACATTAAGGAACTCTCAGAGAAAAATCATAACATTGAAAGTACAGTGGATAAAATATGGGAAGCTGATCCAAACTTATAAAGGAATGTGACAATTCACCAAGACATAGAAAGGATGCTCACTCATATTAAGTTATAAAACAAAAAGCACATACTGTTTATACTTTCCTTTTTCTTTGTTATAAAGGTATACTTTATCTATCTATCTATCTATCTATCTATGTAATTTCTACACCCAACATGGGGCTCAAACTCACAACCCCGAGATCAAGAGTCATATGCTCTTCCAACTGAGCCAGCTAGATGCCCCTGTCCTGTTCATACTCTTGGTACATTTTTTACCAAGAAATAAAACACTTTATTCTCAATGTTTTTAATGTTTTAATTATAGTGTACTAAATAAGTATTAATTTTACTATTTTTTCTTTTCCTTAGACATTTTAAACCAAGACTAGGGTATTCTTAATGTTTTGACAAAAAACTTTAAAGTTCACAGAACAGTTGTAATTTTCCCGTTGATTATTAAGGATCACTGTGCATGGTTTCAGCTTATAGTTATCTTTACAGTCCAACAATACCATGCAAAGCAAGGACTGCCTGTAGTTTCTAATCTTCATTATTATATCTTCCTTAATCCAGGAATTACTTATATTTTTAAAATTCCAAAGATACGGGGTTTTGTGAGTTTCTTATCTCTGATCTCATTGCACTGAGGTCCAGGACCATGGCTTGATAGGCAGTTCTCTGGTATTTACAGAAATTTCCTTTTTGACCCTGCTTGATAAGAATGAATATCCTACTGAATACAGTATCTTCATGCACACACCCCCACTCAGATCAAACATGCTAATAGTATGTTCAAATCTCTCCTCAGCCATTTTTATCTGCTTGATAAGCCAGTTTCTGAAAGAAGAGTATTAAAATATCAGACCATGACTATGGACTTGTCATCTTGTTATAGATTAAATTCTTTGATGGGTCAACACATGCTTGTTGAATGAAAATAAACTCAGAGCAAAATTTGTTTTCCTTCCTTTCGTCCTTCATTTCACTTAATATAGAACTATAAGCATGACAAAGATTTGAATCCCAGTTGAATTAAGAAATCTTTTTAAGAGTAACAAACTGTACAATCAATAACATGACACACTTACTACAAAAGGTGTAGGAACATATTTTGAAAAAAGGTACACAGGAACATCTTTGGCCAGTAAGACTGCAGCAGTGAGTTTAGCAAGTCTAAAAAAAAAAAAGAGAGAGAGAGAGAGATTTCACTTAGTCCTTAGCTTACCATACATTTTAAAACCCAACCCTCCACAAAATAAATGTTTCATATTATAATTATTCTGAATATGTAGTAGCCTAATACAGCCAATTCTTAAAATCACTGGTTATTTAGGCTTCATGCTCCAGCTTAAAAATGTGAAATAAGATTTTTTTAAAAAGGAACTTAATAAGAAACAAAACTGATATTTTAATTTCTTCCTTTTTCCTCATTCATCTTTTGATGGCTCCTTTACTAAGAAATAAAACCCGCAAAAGGCAAAAAGAATGGAGGAAAGTGAAATAAAAGACTTTGATCAACAAAAATGCATAATTAAACCCTGAAAAAAAAGTATCACTATCTCATGATTACTCACGTATGAAAATACCCTAAAACTAATTAAGTGTGAGTATAATGAGAGAATACAAGCTATACAATCACTCCTACCCAAAACGCTGGCCAAAATATTAAAAATCATAACATAAACTATGATGTCATTCTAAATACTAACCCTAAATATTTAAAAATTTTAATCCTGCCTGTAAGAGCTAAAGGTTATAATAGAAGCTTTAAAATGCTTCTAGTCCAGCTCTAAAATAAACATAAGCATGTGATCACATTTCTATTTGACAGTTTCCTGTTTCAGAAATCTTACTACTAATTTTTTTTAAGGTTTTATTCCAACCCAACTTAATCTCTCAAACAATTCACACTGTACCTCTGGCTGCTGCAGCTGCTAGTTACTTGACCCCGGGTGTCATACCCAACAACAAAGCCTCTCTGCTTGAAGTCTGAGAAACATCTTTCAAGGTATTTGTACATTCCCTGAAGCAGATAAACACAAAAGATTAGTTCCTGACTAATACCTGCATTTTCCACAACTTAAAATCTATTATTTTTTATGTGTAGTGTGCAGCTTATTGGCTCAAAGGGAACTGACTTCCACCTTTATGCTCATGTTTACCAGTGTGGGAACAATACTGTTCAATCCTCAGATGTGAGATGACAAACATTTATTTCCTCCAGTTTCAGACACATTTAATACCATCGAAATATCAGTTAAGTAACTATGAAAGCCAATATAATACATAAAACATTAGGGAAAAAAGAGGGGACAAGAGAGTCAGTATGCTAAAGAAAAAAAGTTGTTAGAAGAACCAAAAGAAATTGTTTCTTGCCTTAAGGCTGTAGACAACAGAATTTTGACCATTTTAGGTCCTGCTAAATCATAAGACTGAAGCCAACCAAAAGATTTGACCTGTTTATGACACAAACATTTTTAATCAGCAACATAAACCTTCATTAGAACATTTCTTTCCTTCCTTCCTTCCTTCCTTCTCTCTCTCTTTCTTTCTTCTTTCAAGATTTTAAGTAACCTCTGGGCGCCTGGGTGGCTCAGTTGGTTAAGCGACTGCCTTCGGCTCAGGTCATGATCCTGGAGTCCCGGGATCGAGTCCCACGTCGGGCTCCCTGCTCAGCACGGAGTCTGCTTCTCCCTCTGGCCCTCTTGCCTCTCGTGCTCTCTATCTCTCATTCTCTCTCTCTCAAATAAATAAATAAAATCTTAAAAAAAAAAAAAAAGATTTTAAGTAACCTCTACACCCAACATGGGGCTGGAACTCCCAACCCCAAGATCAAGAGTGCACGTTCTACCGACTTAGCCAGACAGGCACCCCATTAGAACATTTCTTTCTTTCTTTTTTTTTCAAGATTTTATTTATTTATTTGTCAGAGAGAGAGAGAGCGAGCACAAGCAGGCTCCCAACTGAGCAGGGAGCCTGATGCAGGACTCGATCTCAGGGTCCTGGGATCATGACCTAGCTGAAGGCAGATGCTCAACTGACTGACCCAGGCATCCCACCCATTAGAACATTTCTATAGACAGCTGATCCCATTTGTAATTCCTTAGTTCTAAAATCTCACAGAAAGAAAATTTCATGAACTAGGAAAATTTGCAATCAATGGTAACAAAAAAAGAAATGAAGTATTTAATATTGAAATCATCACAACAATAAACTAGAACCATTTAAGTATCCTATGAATGATTCGCTAACTTTAATAAATCCTTTTATCTCTAAAAATAACACTTCATACTGTAATAGTGCTTTAAAACCACTTTCACAAATGTTGCCACATTTAATCCTTACAACCCTGAAAAGAAAAATGAAGATACTTTTTCTATTTTTGTCTGTCCTTCAACATCTTTTCAAAAAAAAGAGTAGCATAAGATTGAAGCTCCACTTAATGACTTGCCCAAGGCCATTCATTCAACCAAAACTAAGTTATTCTAATTTATTGAAGACCTACTGTATGTCAGGCAATGCTAAGACACTATGTGGCAGCACCAGATGAGGCCCCAGTGACTTTCGGACCCCTCTTTCATGGCTCTTTCAAATATAATTGTTCTTTCCAACCTACTCCTGAAAGAGAACTTCAGCCACCTCCATTCTGGCCTTCCTCTCTACTTTCTATCTGACTAAGCTCTTCTTTCCAGCTTATCTCTTAAATCAGGCAAAAGACCCAGTTGGCAAAGCATCCTGTGATGGGAACCAAAACTACCCACCCCTCCAATAATGTCAGCAAGACCCAGCATGAGGGACCCCAGGACAATGACTAATCTGACCTTTATTGCCCACATGCACATACCCACTACTTTTGTCCTACACTTTCCTTATATAAACTTAGAAGTTTTGGGGGGCACTTTGGAGACAGTCTGAGATGTTAAGTCACTGTCTTCCCGGTGTTGGCCTCACTGAAATAAATTCCTTTCTTGTTTCACCGCCTCTGTTTCTCTGCCTTTGGATTTTGTCAGCAGCAAGTGGCCAAACTTGGGCTGCTTAGGATCCCCAGAGTCAGGTGCTCTTGCACCTCTGTACTCTGGTTATGAGCTCCCTATGAGTGTGTGTGTGTGTGTGAGTGTGTGTGAGTGTGAGTGTGTGTAAGTGTGGGTATGTGCACGTGCACACATGCTTAATATAGCCCACGTTGGTCAGTTCCACCAATTTATTTGTTTCTAGAGATGATGCTGTCCTAAAATCTCACAGAACTTCCTACTATTCTCTGTTATAAAAATTTACCTTATCTCTATCCCTGTGTACCTAGATTCTGAAAAGGGCTAGGGCTTAAGAATCAGATTCCATTAGGCTTTTCCTCTTCACACAATGGAATCTCAACTCCAGTAACAATTTACATTTCCATAGAAATTGATTTTCAAACACCTCCTCCAATCCTTTTTGTAAAGTCAAGGAATCTTCCTTTAAAATGAAAACTTACAAGGAAACGAATTTATTAAAAAGAGTGACCTGATGCATCTCTGGATGAGGAAAAGAAAGGGGACAGGGGTGCAGAAGTAGCAGGTATCCTACCTATTCAGTCATCTTGTTGTCCCTTTTTCCCTATCCCCTGCATTAGCCTTTGCCTTTAGAGAATTCCCTCAGAACAAGGCTAAGGATGATGTACTGTTTGGCAGTACTGATTAGAATTATATCTGCTGAGCAATTCTCTAGTCCAGAACTATTTTTAGCATATGCTAAATGCATTTTAGCCTCAAAGTATAGTTCTCCTTGAAGCAGTGGGAATGATTCACTACAAAAAGAAGTAATCTGTTTCTAAGTTGCATAAAAATGGGGAGAAATAAATTGTATCATATCATACACTGTCTTAAAGAACTCGACTATAGGAAACAAACAGAGGGTTGCTAGAGGAGACATGGGTGGGGGGGTAACTGGGTGATGGGCATTAAAGAAGGCATGTGATGAGCACTGGGTGTTATATGCAACTGAATTATTGAACTCTACATCTGAAACTAAGGATGTACTCTATGTTGACTAATTGAATTTAAATTTTTTAAGAAAAGAACTCTCATGGATATGGACACTGTCTTAAAGAACTCTTGTGGATATGGAAAACCACATCAAAGAGAAATATTTTCAACTACATTTTCCAAATACTCTGGTTAACCTTTATCAATGGCCATATACCAAAATGAATAATTCTCATTTTTCTAAGTTTGTTTTTTGTATTAATTGGAAATGTCAATATCCATTTCCTGATTTCAAATACAAAGTAACATTGTCAAGAGTTTGACAATGGTCACCAAAAGAACTCTTAATCAGAAAGTAAGTCTATAACCTTGAAGATACACAAATGACTTCTAAGATAAATCCTGTGCAAGACCAAAGGTCAGCATTTATTCTACATTTCTTATTTACAAGAAAGTACCTTCCTAGATATAAAGTTTCATTTTTTTGTTTTTGTTTTTGTTTTTAGAAAGGCACAACCTAATTTAGAAAGCCAAAAAATAGTGTGATAAAAAGTATACATATAGTACTTTGTAATACTTACCTGTGTTGACTGTATTACTGTAAGGTCATTAATATAGCAAAATCCTGCCCCCATAGCAGAACGAAGTCCTGCAGTCCCAAAAGTCATTCGGCAACAAAGACGATCTCGCAGCTCCTTGTTCATCCCATTCCGTAACAGATTTTCAATCTGCTCTTTTGTTTTGGGATTCTATAAAAAAGTATTAAGACTTAATCAGGATCACAAGCAGGGTCCTAAATATGAAGCCCTTCTGAGGAGCCAGTATTATGCATATATCACAAGGTTCTAGACACACTATAAATTCCACAGTGCTACTGATCAATATTAGTATGTATAATACCGGCCATTTACTGAGTCCCCCAAGGAGTCAAGCCCTTACTGGAGTCCATTTACATATCTCTAATTGTCATAGCATATTTTGTAACAATATTCAAGAATTTTTTTTAACAAATTGATAAACTTAAGAGTTATGGATCCAAAATAAGCCTCTTAGTCAAAAAATACCATTAATTAAATTAGAGTCTATATTAAGTTTTAAAAGAAATATGGAAGCTATTGGGCAAAAGCCATCAACACATGCTGACCAACTACTTCCTAAATCTCTGCAGTTCAAAGTGACCAGATAAGCTTTCCTGCTCTTTAAAGTCACAGAAAACCACGTGACCATAAAATGGTTTTAGATATTAAACGTGGACTTAGCTAAGAATGAGAATGAAAATTCAGTCCAAACTTGGCTTGCTAAGCAGGACACGCCAACATCTATATTTTAGGATTCTGTGTTTCATTATCACATCTTTTACCTTATTTTCATAAAGCTCAAGGATGCCCCTGACTGAAATAATACTTCACAAACAATTAACAAACTTCAAATAGAAATGCAGTAAAAATGAGAATAAAATTTGAATGGAATTTTCCAGTATTTTCTTTCCAAGAGTAAGAATCAAATATTACAAAAATAAAGTGAACCACAACTTCTCCCTTCCATACTATATATAGTATAGATTTAGTCCATACTAACAGCTTAGATCTTCTACATCTATAGCCTATACAATGATAATGAATATTCAGAATGATAAACCAAGGCACCTACAAGGTGTTAAATATTAGAGTATATTTGTACTTGCAAAGAAATAAAAACATATTAATATATATTTAAACAAAAAGGTTTTCTGGTTATAGTGGAATTAAAGTAACCAAAGTACATGCCACAAACTAATGAGAAGCCATGGAAATTCTGATTAACTGAAATTGTAATCTGCTAAAAATGGATAGTGTAAAAAATATATATATATATACACATATATATGCCATATACATATATAAAATATACATATAAAACCTTGACTCAAGGAATCTCTCTTTTATAAATGGCACACACTAACAAATACATAGGCTACATAAAAATATGAATAGCAAGAGAAAGAGAGCCATGAGCATGAGTGGGGGAGGGGCAGAGGGAGAGAAAGAAGCAGACTCCCCACTGAGCAGGGAGCCCCACGCAGAGCTCCATTCCAGGACCATGGGATCATGACCTGAGCAGAAGGCAGATGCTTAACCAACTGAGCCACCCGGGTGCCCCAAAATATGAATAGCTATTAAGAGAAGAATATAAACAATAAGATTACCTGGGCTACTATATATTATTCTAATGTCTAAGATACCACCAGATTTGATACAGAGGTCAAAGAGACCTGAAGAGGGCTAACATTTAAAAACAAGTATAAGAATGGCAAAAATTGAAGACTAAAAAAACCTCCATTCTGTAGAGGGTACATGGCAGTGTATTATAGTTAGTGACACTGAAATTGGGATAGTCCTGGGGCACCTGGCTGGCTTAGTCAGAAAAGCATGCGACTCTTGATCTCGGGGTCATGAGTTCAAGACCCACACTCGATGGAGATTACTAAAATTAAATAAATAAATTTTATTTTAAAAAAAAGAAATTGGGCTAGTCTTTTTAGAGTTTCAGCCACTATCAAAATTTAAACTGCATATGTCTTTTGGCCCATAAATTTCTCTGTCCACAGCCATATCTTCACCCAAACAAAAAAAGATTTATTCATACAAGAATGTTGATTGCAGCATTTTACTGGTAGTAGTATTATTACCATTGTATTGATAAAGAACTTAAGATTTAGAGAGGGAGCCTAGTAACACAGAGCTAATATTAGAGGTCTAGACAGGATTTGAATCCAGGTTGGTCTGGCTCTAAATCCTGTACCATCTCACTACAAACAACAAAATAATTATGTAGGGCAGGCTAATAATGCTTCTAATAATAAACTCCAACTGTAAAGTAAAACATTATTCCTTTTGATTACAGCTAAATAAAAACGATCTACCAGACATGAATACTATTAGGTTACTGAGTACTTCCTAACGTTTAACTGTAGAGCTAGTAGAGTAGGGCCTAAAAATTCCATTCTCTGTTATAAATATCACAACTAGTACTAACCTAATTCCTGGTTCTGAAAAAGCCTGTAAATTAGAGAAAAATAATAATGGATTAAAAATCATGATGCATTAGACATAAGTATATTTTTATGGTAAACAGTGCTAAGTGATTATAGTGACAGGCATATGAAATCTACTTTAAACTTGGATTTCTCCACTATTTCATAGGTAGACATTAAATTAGATATTGATGTCACAAATGTTTTAAAATATACCTAAAGGACTACCTATGTAGCCATGATTATCATATATTTTCCATTTAGATGAAATTGAATTTGTACTTTGTTGTTAAAATCTTCAAATGACTATGATTTTTATAAGCTATCATATATGAAGATTCTAAAGAACTACAAATTATTTTTTAAATACTATTTCCACATAGAACTCAGATGTATTAAATGAAAAGCAGAAGCATATATAATGTGTTTTAATTTGTGTAAAAAGAGGCATGTGTATACTTTATATCATTCCAGAAATTATCCATGCAAATATGAGACTAAAAATAGTGATTATCTCTGATGGGGAAACCAGGAGTGAGGTCTGAGGTAGAAAAGTGACTTATTTTTATTGTACAGCCTTGGTACTGTTTGGATATTTTATGGATGTATTACTTATTTTATGGTAAAAATTAGGTAAGTATCTATGATGGCTGAGAAATACTATTTGTGTGTCTACATGAATACTTTTTACTTCACAAATTGTTCTTTTTAGAACAGTACCCACAGAAGGCTATTAATAAAACATATATTGGAGCTTTCTCAAATACAAATTATTGTTCACTTAATAAATGTGCTCTCTTCAAAAAAACCAAAAGAAAACAAAAACAAATTAAACGTGCTCTCTTATTTACAATGCACTCATTACTTGAGGGTAGGAGGAGTCTAATCAGCCAAAAAAAAGAAAAAAATGGTTCAACTGGTGTCAATAAAGAAAGCACCTCTAAAATTATACTGTAAGTCTGTGGAGAAGTTATATGATTTACATACTTTTTGGTAATGCACTTATTGATCTACTACATAAAATGAAAATTAATTATTTAGAAAGTAAATGCTTTTTTTAAAAAAGATTTTATTTATTTATTCATGAGAGACAGAGAGAGAGAGAGAGAGAGAGAGAGAGAGAGAAGCAGAGGGAGAAGCGGGCTCCCTGGTGTGGGACTCGATCCCAGTACTCTGGGATCATGACCTGAGCTGAAGGCAGACACCCAACCATCTGAGCCACCCAGGCGCCCCTAGAAAGTAAATGCTTTCAATCTGAACTAAATTTGCTCTTAACTAGTATATTTTAGAATCCCAGTAATTTTAGTACCCCAAAAAAGTAATCCTGCAGAAAATCCAAAAGATTTTAGTGACTGCTAGCATTTTCTATACTCCATCAGGAATAAAGCTGATTGTTTAGTAGGAAATCAGTAAGCTAAAGATACAGAATTAAAGCCATGCATTATTTTCAAATTTTACCTGTTTACCCAAAATTTTCCTTTAGGTTCTAATCCTATGGATTGCTGCAACTTTATATGGCTGAAATGAAGAAAAGAAAGTGTCTTCTTACATAATACTCTGTAGAGTTCTGTTTTTTCCACAGTGTAGGTCCATTCAAAGAAAACATGAAAGAACTGATTTACCAAAAAAAAAAAAACAACTTCTAACAAACTTCTTACAAACTCTCATAAATGTGAATAAAGCTATATACCAGACCAAACTCACTCCAACTCTGCCTGCCATGAAATGAAAGTATTAGTACTCACTTACGAAGGATTATTTTGGACTCACCTAAGCTTTTCTGAACCTATTCTGTTCATAATTAGGGGGTTTCTGTATTACTGATGTGTAATAAATGTAAATGTATATAAAAGTATGTAAAAGTAATTAATCATCATTTTATAAAACAAATCAAGTTTGTCAATGAGGAATTCACCTATAAATCTTCTTTTATAAATCTAATATTTGTATAATTTTTATACAACTTGAATCTACTCTATTAATATTCTAGTACTAAACCTAACAGCATAAAAACAATTTAAAATGTGACCTTCATTGTTTAGAAGATTAGAACAGATCTAAAAAACCTAATATATATTCACAATCCAAATCCTAATACTGTTTTATATCTAAAGATGAGGCACTATACAAAACTGACTTTTTAGTGGCTCCAGTATATCTAAAATTGCAAAGCTGCAAATAACATTTTAAAATGTTACTGACAGAGGCTGGTTAGACACCAGTTTTTATGTAAATACCAGTTTTATGTAACTACAGAGAAAAAATATTTATTTCTAAACAGAAGTTAAAATAGGAAACGGCAGTCTGAAAATCTGAAGAGTAAACGACATTTACTCTGAGGGTCAGCCAGCTTGAAGATCCAAATCTAGAGACCTGAAGCAGAACATGTTTTCCCAACCAGATGCTTCCTTACTGAGTCCAAAATATACTCTTGCTCACCAATAATTTTTTCCCATTTGAGGGTCTTTGTGTAAGTCTAAATTTTATTTCTCAATCTTTAAAATTTCTTTTTCGTACAGTAGTTGACATACAACATTGTATACGTTTTAAATATAAAACAGTGATTTGATAATTCAGTAGATTACACAATGCTCACCATGATAAATGTAGTTATACCATCTGTCACCATATGTTAATACAATATTATTGACTATATTCCCTATGCTGTACTCATCTCCATGACTTGTTTGTAACTGGAAGTTTGTATTTCTCAATCCCTTTTGCCTATTTTGCACA